TTGGGATTTGGCATTAATGTGAAGCAGTGGGACCATGCTGCCTGCTAACTACTGTATGAACCCTAAGTGTTCTGGAGACCAGCAGCTGGAGGCTGGAGGCCGGAGCCCACACCCCGGGGGAAGCACCCTCTTCACGGGAGAGAGGGAGGAGGACACACGAGGCGGAGTCCTCATTTGTAAGGGGAACGTGGGGGTGTATGCGATCCTGGGGAGGAGACTCTTCTTTGACTGCACTGCTCCACGGAGCCCTCAGATAAGGCCAATTCTATTGGGCTACCTCGGCTTTACAAGTTAATTTCAGTTAAGTCCTGTTTCGAAGGTTTGTCTTGTTTTGCTTCTACCTTCAGTGCCACTATTTTCCACTGCAGTGTTTTGACTTCACAAACTGCCTTCTCCAGAGAGAACAGTGTATTGCCGAAAGTGGGCAGTAGGAGCAAATGCTGTTACATTTGACCTATAAAGTATTCAGTGACTGCTAGGTGGAAATTGAATGTTAGCTTTCCCCACATAGGACCTTGTCTTGCACCTTACGAAGAGTGTACTAATTGTTAATTAGATGTTGCTTTTATTTATACAAGCATTCCCAAAGAATTAGACTTGGAGTTTGTTTTTGAGTTTCAGGATTCTTAAAAATTATTTTACTTAGATTCACTAACATTATACTTAAAATAAAAAAGAAACAGTTTGTTCAGTTCCTCTTACCAGATACTTCTGGTGAAGGGTTCAGGGTTGGATGGACTGCTTTGCTTTAGTTTGGAAGTGATAGCTGAGTTTATTATGCTCCATAATAAATGACCTTGTCCTTTTCACTGGGGATGTTATCTTCCTTACATTTCAGAACAAAGAAGCAACAGAACAGTAAATCAAAACAAATAGATCTGATTCTGTCATACACCTCCATCTGTTTGTGCTATGCTTTTCTTTAAAAATTATAAATACACATATTCTTTAAAAAAAACAAAACAAAAAACACAGTTTCCTCTCTTGGCCAAATTTTATGTGTGGTGGTATGATTTGTACTAATAAATTAGAAGAGGAAACCTTGTACTTATAAGTTCTGTGGCCACTATTTTCTTGTTGCAGTCAGTGGTCAGAATTGATCCTGCCCTCAAATTGATTTTTATGCACAGTTAGTTGTTGTGACCATAACTACTACTTCCAAAGATTTCCTAATATCTTAGGTCAGAACTGGTTACTGAGTAACAAGAACCTAATTCAATGCCTCCAAACCCTCCCACCCACACCACAAATCTTACCTCACAAGCTCTAAATCACAAAGGCGCGCTTGCTTCACAGACTAACACAGCTCTCGCAGGCCCCCCTCACACCCCGAGGGACTGGATCGGGTCCCCGACACCTCGTGCCAGTGCCTCGCTGCGCAGGACGGGGGTGGGGAAGGTTCATGATCTGGAGCTCAGCACGTGCTCACCAATGTTTCTCATTTCATTAGCACGAAACACATCTCTTGCTCTCAGGAATTTATCAAAAAAAGAATAAAAACCACCTGAGATTCCACACACCAGATTATGAACGTTTCTCGTAGGTTTGAATTGCTTACTTGTCATAAATTAACCACGGCTTCGTTTGACCACCAGGTCTTAAGTCTGTTGACAGTTTCAGCATGACCGAATTGCTCATTTTCTTTATTTTTTATTTTTTATTTTTGCTTTCTGAAATTGGCTCGGTTCTCTTTAGAGTTGGTGTAAACATGCCATGTAATAAATGATTTCTACTTAATGGTACAACAGAATTATTGCTTTCTTTAGATGTATGTGTAGTAAAAGTCAATATACACATTTATATAATTTCTTCAAAATCTTATACTTTATTTGATATTTCTAAAAATTGCACATGTAAGTCATGTGTATAACATGCTAAAGTACTTTAACTGTGATCTTAAAACTGAATAAAAATATTTAATAAAAATTTGAAGTATTTTAAAGATATTCAAATATATTTCTTTATGTTCATACTACTGGCCGTAAAATATGTGCCTCAATATACCATGTCCACTAAAACAGTGCCGTACTTTCATAAAAGTAAGCTAGTTGGGAATGTCCAAGGATAGCCTCCTCTAAACTATTGGTCTCAGCAGCCTCAGTTGCTTTTCCCTAAAATGCAGCAGAGATCAGCCGATGGAAGAAAGAAGATAATGCTTAGTCTGCTTCTCAACACAGGACTCTTGGAGGCGCCTCCCTGGAAACAATCTGACCTGAAATACCATCTTTCCTTTGAGCTAGAACAACTCATGCAAATGGTATACTAAGACTGGAAACTCAGACCTCAGACTTGCTGAATACGGTGTTTCTGAGCCATCCGACCTTAGATACGGTTTTCTATCCTTTGGAACAACACAGTATATATACATATTTAGTATAATTACATCAAACAGGTTTTACATTCAGACAGGCGTGGCTTCAAACACTAGCCCCACCAGCTCACCACTGAGGACCACTGGACCACACTTCACTCATCTGAATGATGGTGTTAATACCCACACCATTGCTGAGATGAAAAGAGTAGACACGGAAATGTTGGCATAGGGCCTGTAATAGAGATTCTTATTAAATGGTAATCATTGATTATATTTTTATTTCAACTTTAAGGCAGATATGTTTGAGTATATAGGAAAGATGCTAAGTATACTTTATTTGAAATAAACTTGTAAAGGATGATGCATAAGGGGTAAGTTGTTTCAGGAGATAAGATGTGGGAAAACAGTTAAATTTGCATAGCCCACTCTATGTAGCACTATAAGATTTTTCTAGAAAATTAGTCTGCCTGATGAATTACACTTTTGTAATGCTCCAGTGCACTTCCTTTCTTTGAATTACTGTCAAGTGTAGGGGTGGGGGTGAGGGGGCTCCATCCCAAAGAATATAAGTGGTGTTAGGAAAAAAAGACTATACATATATGTGGTTTTATGCTCCTACATGTATTTAGACAGTTACATCTTTTTGGGTAGGACATGAAATCTCAAGGAAAAATAAAATGGTCTTAAGCAAGCTAAAACTAATACTCCATTGCATGCATGCTGAAAGTACATAAAATTGTTCATTATAATTTATCAGAAACCTTTTCACCTTTTAAAGTTATGGAAAAATATATGCAAAAGTAGGTTAGCATATTAAACTCCGTGTCCCTACCCCTTAGCTTCAACAAATAACATTTTCTCAATTCCTGTTTCATCTATATTTTGCCCAATTTCCTCCCCCAACCTCAGATATGTTTATTTCAGGAGTATGATTTCATGTATACATACTTCCAATGCTGCCTTTTTAAAAATCTTTTAATATGGACAATTTTTATGTATCACCTCCTCACAATTCCAAAAATATGTTTAGTTCCTGTCTAAAGCCAAAGGAATCCCTGAGCCACAAGAGCAGTAGTGCTGGAGTGAAGATTACTTAGAACTAGAAAACACTTTAAATTGGATGTTGCTATATTTACCTTTTTGATCCACAGTTTTCCAAAGAGATTTAACTTGATTAAACAATGCCCCCTTTTAGCATGTAATTCTTTCTATGGTCTTTTCTCTTTTCCAGACTTAATGTCAAAAAGGCCCAAGTGCTAAAACTTTTATAAACTTGTATGTCCTTTCTCCTTCCCTCCAACCTTGTTCCCACTGTTTTCTTCCTCCCCAGACTTGCACGAGTGAAGTATATTGTAGGGGAGAGGCAGAGACAAAATGTAGATAACCTCTGGAAGGCTGGTGCGGGTGATTTTAAAATCTGAAATTCTGGGTTAACAGGCCAGAAATGAAAGCACAAATTGAAATCCCTTGCCGGAAGAGATCAAATGATAATCCTTGCTTTTTAGAGATCCCGTACCCTAGGG